CTTGTGTCCCTTTTGATGGCTTCATTGTGTGATATAACTGAGCAACTGGTGTGTAGCCGACTTTTCGGCTGAATAACTTAATTACTTATAACCGTTGACCGCCTGATACACAATGGGACTATAAACCTGTTGAATACGCGTATGAAAACCGAAGACTTGATCTTCAGTGGTGGCTCTGCTAAGACATACCGACCGTTCCATGGTGGTCCTGCTGAGGCAGACCGAGACTTGTGCCATGGATTCTTCACTTAGAGGGTTCACTGTTAGATCTGTTTACTGTGTTAGGTTCACCGCGGTCGGATCACTGAAAGAGACTCTCAGCAAGAGAGGTTCACCAAGAGAGCGAGGCTCGCCATATGCTTGCGTTATATTTCTACGCGTCAGCTTACTTATCTGGCAACAAAGCATCGTTGTTGCTACACTGGAATCTTACACGAGACGCAGAAAGGAAACTCTAGAAGTTTCAAGAATTATACGTACACATACAAGTATACGAAAATTCTCGTCCAAAGTGTTTACAGAAACCTAAGAGATAGAGAGACTGGCGATACCGACAATCGACGGTCTTGAAACTGCTTCAATCTCGAACTGAAGTCGTCTTCCATAATAAAGATAGATTAATGCGATTATACATATGCATATCACTTCTAATTCACATATATTTCTATGTCTATATATAAATTATATCAGTTTATCTATACATATTTTTTCTCTATTTCAATTCTTTTAGTGTTAACAGAATTTACTTATTAATTATCATTTTTTTAATTTACAGTAATTTTTATAATATATTAAATTTTTTAATATTTTATAAGAATAATGAGAATAATGAGTAGTAAATGAATATTTGATATTCAAAATGTATTTAACGAACAATATTCAAATGTAATTGCAATAATAATTATTACATTATTAGGAAGTGGAAATGAAGGCGTGCATGATACATCATGCTGCCCAAAGTCAAACTCTGATTAGATACAGGAAAAAAGAAGGGGTCCTAGTGGAACCGGGTCAGTGAACTATGTAAGAAGGACGATGTAATGTACCGACACTTATTCTCACCAGAAAGGTCACAACGTATTCTTACGAAAAGTCACAACTTATTCTCAAGGAGGATGACCAGAGAAAAGTTCATCAGCCGAGTTTTGTAAAATATCCTTTTACTTCTGTGATTCAATATCCAGTTACATTTAGTTTCATAAAGCACTTATCGCACAAGGACTGAGATTCGCGTCATCTCAGTAAAAGGAGGCAAAAGGAAAGTTCAAATGCAGGCAATTCGTGCATGGAAGCTTTCCATCAAGTGTGTGCGGAGAAATTGAAAATATTACACTACAACTTCAAGTTAATCCAGACTTCTAGTGTAGATTCTTCGCTTCACGGCCCATTCAGAAGACAGACCGCAAGCTGCCCGAGGCGAGAAGCTTCCCAAGCATGCCCACTTATCAAGACCAGCAAATCACGCCATTCAGTGGCGAGCATTCCTCTAACTTCTATCTTAGGCACGTGCTCACTCACACGGCGCACTATTCAGAGGCAACGGCAACACGTGTCAAGATGACGACACGTAGAAGAATTGTAGTGTTCGTTCAGAGCTAATTATTAAAATAAATAAATAAATAATATATATATATATATATTTAATATGAATTACCTCTATTAAAATTTGCAATGGTGCTATAGAATTAAGTTCATTAAAATCAACTAATGCTTGCGATACACTTCTAAATAATCTTGTTGAAGTAGTACCTGTAAATCAGAAGAAAATTAATTCCATCAATTTTGTACAATAAATGATATTACGTTTTATCAAAATTTTTAAATATAAATTTACTATAATTTTTAGTTGAAATATTGTTATCCTTATGTGTCTAAAAATAGAGGACCGGCCGAGGAGGACCAAGTATCTAAGATTAGGTCTGAGCTCTCAGATGTTGATAGGAGGATTGCAGGCTAGTGGACAAGATAGTATATGTATTCAATAAAGAGTAGTTTTGTTATTTAGTTTTGTTTTATTTATATAATTGCATTAGTTGAATTATAATCAGTTTCAGTTGATGATTGAGTGCTTGCTTTTCTTGATTTGTATGTGTTATTGCCACTGAGCGATCATGTACGTTGCATATACAGGAAGAAGTTGATGCCTTGCTGGTCCTCTAAATGTAATGCACGTGTAGATAGAATAATACACACAGAAAAGCGAGGTCGTGAACCCCCGCGCTTCTTTGTATATGAGCACGTGGCGATTGCTTGAATTGCTTGTATTTGTGTTTTGCAGATAGCTTTACGTATCTGCAGATTGGCGCGTATGGCTTGTTATAGTTATGCATTAATTCGGAATGGAACGTTACCTCGTAGTTCTGCACGTTGTGTTTAGCTATGTTTTGTATTGTTTATTGAATTAGCCACGATTAGCTCCTTGCAGTTTGATTCTCTATACTGTGCAAACCGATATTCATAGTTCTCGATTCCCTTTTTTACTTCTGGTTATGTATGTTTTATTATATAGCACTTGTGTTGAATAGAATAACCTTTGCGTGTGTTACGGGCTACAGCATTTTAAAGCGGAATACAAAGTGGGAGAGGTATGAGCGCGCGAAACATTGTTTTGTAAACATTGGCCAACGGACTCAAAAAATGTTTCTAGTCGAAAAACTCTAATATATGACTATAAGTAATAACAAATGAACCCTACAAAGCCATGCCTTATTGACGACACGACAAATAGCGGCATAGTAACAACAGCCACCGATGCGCTATCGGCGCATCCAGTTCGTACGAGAATGTGAAAGGAGCTGCACGTGTCGTGATTGCTTCTTGCTAATACCAATCATGCACTCTTCGCATCGGGCTCGCTTTCCAACCTTGCCATCGCCATTGGGAGGCCATGGCAAGCATCAAGCAACCTAAGGAACTAATAGCGATACCACAACTATACTGACATCCACGCCTCAGATCGCCACTCTGCGCCACGCGGTTACTGCTACCACCTCACGCAGTTTCCGTCACCACGTGCAAGCAACGCCGACGCTCGTTCTGACCTTTACCTCTACACCACGGGTTACGCTCGCATCGAGCACACGAACGTGCTCCAATATCACCACTACCTTTGAGCTCACGGACATAAGCGGTGACGTCACACGGACGTTTTTCCACCACTTCGTACACTACAGCTCACCCCTCGCCGGCTGCCAAGACGGCACTAACTTGCTGCCCCTACCACCACGAGATCCCCACTACGACTACTCAACCCAAAAAAGAAGGTGAATCACGCTCCAGGCTATCAAAAACACACATACAAACTTATCGCCACCACTATTACTGAAGAAACACCAATATATTCATTCTATCACATATTCATTCCAATATTCATAGATTATTAACTATTCATTATTTATTATATTTAATAAAAAGAAAGACTATTAACATTAAAGGCAGTATTGAATAATTGCATTGCCCCTTCCACTTGCCAGCAAGCCTCCACCCACCATCATAAGGTGGTTTTTAGTCTGATCCCAAACAGCGTGATTAGCTTGGATATTCTGATTGTTTGACTGCGTTTATTTGACTTGTTTTTTTTTCTATTAGATAAGATAAGATAAGTGATTGTGCCTTGCCGGCGTCGTCTTTTTAAAGCCTTCTCTCGACCACGCAGTGGTCGGTGAGAATTCCCTCTCTTTTGGTGTTGCCAATTAGAGCTGTCTTGTTGATTATGGCGTCGCCAATGAGATTTAGTCTTATTAGTGTGTCCAATCAGAAGTCTTCTTTAGTTTATGGCATTTCTAATCAAGACGCTTCTTGAGTGGTGGGGTCTCCCACCAGTGAGCCTTTTCAAGATGGAGGCTCCAATAAGAGCGGGTCTTGCTCAACTCCCCTCCATGACGGGGGACTTGATGCCGCGCTTTACCCTCTCCATCCTAGTATCGTCGCATGCATTTCTTATAATCATGCGCGTTGCGGTCGGTCAGTGTTATGAAGGTTAGGTGTAGCGTGGTTTTGAGTGGATCATCTGGCTTGTGTTTTTCAGACTAACTTTATGACTTGTTTACGCTAGATGTTTTATGACTTGTCGTCGATAGATGCTTTATGGCGTGGTCGTGTCAAATGTCTCGTCGGATTAGTTTTATGACGTGTTTTTGCTGGACACTTGGACGTTTGTTCTCGCCAGATGTGTTTATGATTTGTATTTTTTTAGATATTCGAAGGTTTGCCGAATTGTTTAGATTTAGTTAATCCGAGGCGCGTTTGAATGTTTATTCCTTGGGTAATCAAGAGTTTGATTTTTTTGAACTCTTATCTCGAATTTTCCAGATGTTTAATGAGCTAGGAGTTTTCTTACATTCTCGAACATTAGGAATTTTTCTTATGTTCGAAACAAGTTTATTTAGTTGTCTAGGATTAGACTAAAATCTCACTAACAGTGATGTTCTGTGGAAGGATTGCTGGCAAGTGGAAGGGGATGGCGCATTTATTCCATATTTAACACGTAGTGCATTTTTTCTCTTTATTTATTTACAACCTACACAATAAATATGATTCAAAGATGGTGTTGAGAATCTGTGGGTTTCCGTTTCTTAGTAATTTCATGCGAAGGTCGCGTTCACTGCAACTCGAGGTTGAAGTTTGAAAAGATCCGGGTACTCTTATTGGAGTGCGCTTTGTTTTGTCTTATCTACAATCTACAAGCAATAATTATTTGAGAAAACATTAATCAATGTTATATAAGTTTGTTACAGTTAATTAAATTTTGTTATAAATAAAAATGCTTACAAAGTAAAAATTATGCCAACAAAAAGCCAATTCAAACCGTATTGGTACCATATTTGTACCGACATTATAAAATTTAAACCGAAAATGTAAATGTATGGAAAGGATAGCATAAGTTTTATAGTATCTTGCTAATTAGAAACATAGCATGTCTGATATTGTTTAGAATTAGAGTATGGCTACCAGTGTTCTGGTGGGAGAAAAGTGTGGGTATCGCTTCAATTCAGTATTTAACATATCTGCTTTCCGTGCTTGTTATTACATTTATTGTACAACTACATTATAATGATTCTACGTTGATGATGAGAATCGCTGAGATATTGCCGTTCCTTGTTTGTTGTCACGTGGTATCAGCATGCATTACTTGCAGAGGTAGGAGGTCGTAAATCTCCGGATCCTCTTGTTGAAATGTGCTTGGTGGTGAAGTACTACACTAATAAGCGAGAGGTCGTAACTAGAGTCTCTTGACACGTCTTCGTGTAGTGCCACATGGTGGTAGCTTGATTACTGGTCTCCTCCAAGCTGTCTTGTGGTGTGGACGGGCGAAAAATACCTATAACAGCCTTGTGCTCTTAGGCAGTATGTATGAGGTTCGACGTTGAGTAGTTCGTAGCGGCTCTATGGCGAGAGAGTGTGCGATTGTCCGAGTGATTCGTTTTTGGCAGAATAGCGGCTAGCTCATGGTTCACTTGCTTTAAATATCCACTCGGCAGCTTTGTTAGCTGACAGTAAGGAGGCGATTGTGATGCTTGAAGCAATGGATGAGATTGCTGTACTCGAAGTAATGTATTTGATTGGGCACTTGTTTTTCCGGACCTCCAACCGTCGTTGGAGGATTTCGCAGTAATTATAACCGATAGAGGAATTGCTAATCTTACTAGCTCTCAAGTTTCTGTAAACAATTGGGTAGCAGAATTTTCGATTATTTGTTGCTTTGGTTTCAAATACCTTATGATCTTTATATGGTCTTCGGACAGTAACGTCGTTTGAAATTCTCCAAATTTCTTAAGCCTTGTTTTTCTTGGAGTTCTCGAAGCTTCTAGAGTTTTAATTTTGCGCTTCATGTAATATTCCAGTTTAGTAACACTGATGCTTTGTTAACAGCTAAGTTACGTGCCGCGTGGATATTTGAGGGAAGCACACTGCGCCTAAACCTTCATTGTATTTTATTCAGTCAAACAGTTATAAGTCATTCAACTACGCTATTCAGGCAGTCCTTTCTGCCATACACCAGTTGCTCAGTTACACTCACACAATGAAGACATCTCAAGGAATACACTTTTTATTCAACAAGCGTGCTACTAATTAAGTAAGACTGCATTACGAGAATCTATATAGGTACGAGAAGCATAGTCTCTAGGTTTTCTTTACAATCATTGAGGCCACACATGCTTATAGGAGTGTGCGCAATTTACTGCTAATCTTCACAACATTAGCAGAAGCCATTTTTCATTCTATACGCGTTCAGACCACACGTCCTGTATAGCAATGTTCGCATAGTGCTACTAATCCGTACAACATTAGCAGACGCCGCGACATCGTCACCATCAAGGAGCAACCACATCATTGCGACAAGACAAAGACTCTTCTATGAGATGTGAATACAGCTTATTACTATTATAACTATTAATATACTACAAGTTAACGATGTTTGCACACACTACATATTTCTACAACCCTTCCACAAATTATTAAAGCTATCGAAACATTGGCAGTTCGTGCCAAGAAAACATACCGGTTTCGAACAATATTTATTTTAGGTAAATTGTACCATTCACAAATGAAATCTATATATTACGAATGATCAATAACAATATAAATTACCTTATTCATAATGAATAAATCAATATTAAAAAAAACAATACCTTTTATATTTGTTTGAAACATCTGTAAAAATATGCCATTCGGTGCCATTTGGTGAAGTACACATCGTAGAAATTGATGAGCTACACTTACAGCACTACCAGGTAAATAAATACTCGATTCACTTTGCCAAGGGTATGTAATGTTCAATGACACACTAAAAATTGTTGAAATTTATTTACTATATTCTTCATTTTAAGAAGAATAAAAATAATATTGTATTTTTTAACTTACGTAGTAACAATATTTAAAATTTCTGGCAGTAATGACGCTGCTAAACACGGCTCGCGATGTATAAATGTACCAATAATAATTATACATAGTCCTAATTCTTCATCTGAATATTCTTCTTTTACTAATCCACAATCACAACATCTAAAGAGGAAATAAAATGAATTAATAATATAATTATTAAATATTCTTAAAGAAAAGTTTGTATCAAAGTCTTATAATGTTAATTTATAAAAAAAAACTATTTGAATATCATTTGTCATAACATCACTATGAAATATAATTTTTATAATGAATGATAAATATAAAATGTTAAATATAAATAAAAAAATTTGTTTTTAAAATAAGAAATTATAAGATCTAAATATAACAATTTTGTGTTAAGAATTAACGTGTTTATAACCATTTACAAATAAAATTAGAATATATTAATATAATTCTAAATTTTGAATATATATTATATTACATAAAATACTAAGACTCAAAGATTTTTCTGTTCTTAACCTTCACAATCCTTTGTTTGATATAAATATATAATATTATAGCTTAATTGCATTTTTATAAAGTTTTTATAAAGCTATTTATTATGCGAAAAATCCAGAAGCCACTTTGGTAAGGATTTTAGAAATCGAATAAATATTTCAATATATTATAATATTGAATTTTGCTATTTTATTAAATATATTTTAGCAAATCTATTGATTTGATATATAAAATTAGTTTATTTAAAATTATGTTAAAGATTACGTGTAAGGCTAAATATTTGGATTATATTTTCGGAGAAAAATTCTATCGGTTATAATTACTGCGAAATCCTCCAACGACGGTTGG